CGTGGTCATGTGACTCGCTGACGCAACAATACAAATGATTTTCCTAAAATGTCTGAAAACTGTTAATCTCACTTTAACCTACCAACCGTTAGGCTATTTACTCCTACGATGGTTAACTTTACGTTTTCTAACCTTTCTCTGATCGAAACTATCTTTCACTCAGCTTTACTTTTGGCTCCCCTCCCGTTCTCTGGTCTCTCGTCTGGTCACCGCTATTTATCTCTCTCTCTCTCTAAGGTGTTCTAGAAATCTCCGTAGCCTCGGCATCAATGACTTACAAACACAACATCCAATAATCGTCTGCTTTATTCCTCTTATTATGAAAAAAAAAACAACAACAATCAGTCATAAAATATTAACTCGCAAAATAAATAAATTAATACTACCTACATTAAACAGTCTTTTATATCTTACAATGTTATATGTATTTGTATTTCAAATGCCAAGCATAAAGCAAAAACAGTTTAAACCTAAAACATTCCTGAATGTTTATATTTACAGGTATTTGCTACTGCCCATCACAAAATAAATCTGGAAAGTCATTTTTATTATTGGATACTTTATATTAAAATCTATATTTTCTACATTTTCTTATTGTAACCTTTAACATTGTCAGACTATTGTGGTATTCTCATATTCATTGATTTCGACCACAGTACAACAGTTTGGGAACAAAATAACACAAGAATCATCAGATAATGTATTGTGAAGTAATTGCTCGAGTTTCTCTGTCCTAGACTGAGTCTGACATAAAAAGAAAGTCTGAGCACAAACTTGTATGTAATCACAATCTTTATTGTACATACATAACAGATGTACTCTAATACAAGGTTAAATGTGCACTACACTAGAGAGAGAGAAAGAGAAATGAATATTATTTACTTCAATGTGTGATGTTTATTTGTTTAAAACCTGAAGTAGTGTGATGTTTTTCTCTATGAATTCTAACAATGTTAATGCAAGATCTCAATGATTAAAACTATTTTTCTTAATAGAGCTCTCCCTATGTATGTATATGCATGTGTACCTAATCTGAATTTTTCGGTTTTTCTCTTAGGCTACTGAGAAAACCTGGCCTTGTATGCATAAACAAGAAGGCCAGGATGCCCATGCAGGACTCACTCTCGTTTCAGTGCAAGAATCACTCGACTTGTCAGCAGAAATATTTTATCACATTCCAACCAATATAGCTGATGCCATCTTTGTTGCCAGTTGTTTAATAACTGTTTGTGGTCACTTAATGAGCTGATATAGTTTGACTCTCCCAGAACTTGGAATATCTCTTCAAATATTTTAGCTCTGGGAATTTTTTTCTTAACTAGGAGATGATGTGGTCTACTCTGAGGTGAAAGCTCATGAAGTATTGTCATCATTTTGCAATGAAATAACCTCCAGTGAACACTTGTAGAATTCCAAGGTCTATCAGATCTTCAGTTTGATGCCTAGTGTCATCTCTACAGGTTGGGCAGTGAGGATGCAGGTCATCAGCTGATTGGTGCTGGTTGACGTCTCTAGAGACACCCTGTCACTAGAAAAGCAGGTGGTGGCATGTGCATGGTCTTGGTTTGTGGCTCTGAAGAGTTCAGAGTTGACCCTGAGGCAGGTGGGATCATATTACTCATGTCAAATGCAGATCAAACAACTCACCTTCATCTTTTGGCTCTACCAAAATGAAAGACAGACCGGCTCCAGTGGTTTTAGGAACCACTGGAAACTTAAGGATGACTTCATAACTGAAGAACAAAAGTTTACACTATATCTGTGCTCCATGACTTACTGCAGCTCTTGGGGTTTAGCGTATAACAATCATAGAATTAACCTGCAACTGGATAGTTCTAAACAAAATAGCTAGAAGTGTTGAAATTGTCATCATAAATAGGAAGAGTCAGAATTGAAAATGTAAGGTCAGTCGAACTCTGATTGGTCAGAAGTGTTGGTTAAAATTTTAAAGCTGTGTGCTTCTCTGAATATATCTATCTGCATCATTGAAAATATCAAGTCATAACCAAATAAAACATGGAGTACAACAAGCTTATCTTTGGCACTATTCTAGTTATTATTTGTGAATTTCACTTTATACAGATAATTTCATCTAATCACGAATATTTCAATTCGATCTAGTTTAAGTATATTTGTTTACTGCTGTCGATTAAACAGATCAAAATGTGTTTTCTTGCTAGCCTTACATAAATCAATCCATTACTCCCTTCCTTTAAAATCCACTACCTGCCAAACATTTCAATGTCAAAACTGAAACATCCTCATATCGCCATTAATGGAGATATCAAGTTGACTGTATCTTCATATAATACTTCACAGGTAATCAAAGCAGACTATT